TACTTTTACATTCTGCAAATTCGGCCGCGGTTTTCGGGAAATCTTACACTTACATCAATTTAATCCATAGATCCACACTGATTGAACGAAGGTTGTGTTAGCGCTGAAAGAAAACCTGCTGACCTTCAAGAACTCGGCAGTTCATGCACATGTTACGACGAAAATGAATGAAAAACCAAGTTTGTCAAAGCAATACACATGTATTGCTCACTTGAAATCCACAGCGAAATCGTAATCATCACTACCACCGAGGCCACTCAAGGACTTCTCCATTAGGTTGCTCAGCTTTTCGTCAGATTTGCCTAAAGAAAAAATAAAATCCACAGTTCCAGCAAACGCGTCAGGACATATTTCAAATTTTTTTTCGCAGGTACTCACGATTTATCTGCGCCAGACGTTTCCGAAGTTTCAGGTTCTTCTTGTTGACACTCACTTGTTCCTGTTCTTCCGGCAGATCAGTCTTCATTCGAGTCTCTTTCTCTTTTTTCGCTGCGAGCTTCTTGGATACTCTGGTTTTTGAAACCGGGTTCAACTATAAAAAAAAAAATCCAGACGGTTAGATAAAGCAAGAATACAGCTACCCTCCGCACTTGAATTTGAAAATCTTCGCCCTTCTGGACTTAGGAGCACAAAGGCACAACTACAAGCGACACCTATATTGATAAAAGAATAAGTCACGGGCACGCATGCATTTATTCCTCAGTAGTGCGCTCAGAAAAACTGACCTCTTCCTGGTTTATTTCACACGCTCAATTGATTCACAAGACGAATTATCTTCTTCACACACGTAAAATACTGGTACTTTATTCGTGTAAGACATATGAAACTCGCCATCACCGTTGTTCTTCAGAAAATTAGACTTGGATCACATCACGTTGACCACGGCTCGTTTTTAACATTACAGTATGAAGAATTTCACCTATTCCAAAATATCAGAAGTCGCATCCAACTGGGATAAACTTCCTATGTTGTATTGAGAATATTGCTGCTGAATATAGCGGTCTCCAGTCTGTGCTCCGGAATAAAGGATGAGAGGAAATTGAAGTGGAGTTGAAGATGAAGAGTTTGAAGGCCCAAGAAGAATAGGCAAGGACATTTATTTCCCTGTGATCTTCACTTCACCTCCTTTTTATCCCTTCCTGTTTAGTATCCAACATTATGAAGAACGACAGTTGACCAAGGTTTCACCCTTCCAAACTAAATAAGGGGATCAGCCTCCACTTCACATTTCGGTCGACTGCCTTTCCTTTAATACTGTACCTCATAATTCAACAATTGCTGCAGAAGCTTTCTCAGAAGATCTGGTGTGGGTTTCATTGAGAATATTGTACAGTAGTAGCCAATGTTCGAACTTCAACAATATTGAAAGAAATACATTCTCGAACAAACTTCTAACATTTACGAGGGTCACTATTGAATTTCCCTGTGCAAGGTTATATCTTTAGGAACGAAATCCTTTCTTGGCGTCTGAATTTCAGTACAATTGGAGGTGTCAGTAGCTGAAAAGGACAACGAAGTTTTCTAAAAAAAGTTTGATTTCTGTCAGAAATTAAAAAAAAAATTGGTTTTTAATAAACATAGGTGAAATTTTTTCCTACATCCTAGTAAGATTTCAAGAATTGTAAATACTGTATTTTTGAGAAGAGAACACAATCCAGAAGGAATTCTTCGCCTCAAACCCCATGAACACATCAAAACTCAGGAAAACTTTTCGAAAATTCTTATTTTTTGAATTTAAATGGTGGAAAATATTTTCGTTGCCGCCTAAAATCTTCCTTCATTGCGAATTTTAAAAAAATGGTGGCTTTTCAGGAAACCTTGATTTCTTCATGACAACACCTGATATAAAACTCTAATGCGAACAAAATCCCGAGGAACAGCTCCGCTACTTTACTGACACGATATGTGAAAAAATGCAATACATTATTTCTCAACAATTATTTTGGAATACTGTCTTCGATTTCTTGTGGCTTTTGCTTGTATAAAATTCAGTGGCCCAACCATTCTGTACACAAGCTTCTTTCACCTACAATAGACTTCTCTTTTACAATGCGCTCAAAAATGCCACCCTTGCGTACTGCCACGAGACGTGCCAGTAGAATTATGGAACTGAATCAAGGTTCACTGTATACTGTTCGTTAAAGAATTCACAGGCCAAGTGCAGAGACTTTCAAAATGACATTTGTAAAAAATTTGAAAGCAGACGATTTTTCTTTTTCCAAGGAAGTACAACCAGTCTTCAGCAAATACGATATTCGAGGTGAAGATCGTTTTAAACTAGGCTCAATTCTTGGAGGAATACAGTATTGTACAGTACTGCATTTACTCAAGTACCGAAGACATCTTTCCCCCTCCAAATTAAGAGGAAAAAGAAGGGTGCGCTTCACAGCTGGGTATCAATATTTGAAGCTTAGGTGAGATATATTTTTGATTCTAATGAAAAATTTTGGACCAAATTTAACTGAAAAACTTATTCCACCAGAAATGATTGAAAATTTGTTGAATTCAGGATCAATTCATGCCTAAATTAAAATTCGGATGTTCTTATTTTTCAAATATCGCACGTTTAGAGTTACTAAAAATGGGGCGCGCGTCTCATTTAAAGATACACTTTTACAATAATACTCGAATGAAGAACCCTTGCACGTTTCTCACTTGAGGGCGCAAGGTACTTAAGTAAATACATTACAGTATGTATTAAGAATATTTCCAGGTAATTCTTGAGCTTTCTCCTTTCATGAAAACAATAAGTATCTAAAAATATGAATGCACGGCAACCTATTAAAACTGAGCTCAAAAAATATGTTTACCGGTTCTTGCAGAAACTACAGTGATTTCAACTAGTGAATTCAACAAGCCCTCCGAACTCCGGTGTAGGAGTCGGGAGCGTCCGGGTAGGCAGGAGCGTCCGGCCGGACACTCTCACCTAGTTGGGAGCGTCCGACCCCCGGTCCGGAGTGTCCGGCCCCCAGGCGGGAGCGTCCTGCCACCAGTTGGGAGCGTCCGGGATTGAAAATCCAATAATATGAAGGTTTTACAAATGAAATAGTACAGAACTACATAGACACTAGTTGAAAGCATGTTAAATGATGAAAGTTATTGAAAATCTTGAAGGTTTTACCTGCAAGAAATTTTTAATAAAAACTTTTAATCAAATTTTTCATTCAAAATTCTTCAGTAATAATCTTCCTACCAATTTTTTGATCCTACAGAGTTGCAACACCTGCAATCGTGGAAATTTTAAACTGTTAATTGACATTTTTGAGATGAACGTTGTACACGTTTAGCAGATGTTTCATCTATTCAGACTGTTTTCCAAATGCGAAGCACGTTTTTTTTTCTTTGCGTTTACGGAAGTTTGAAGTATCAGTTTTTCAAACCTTTAATCTCTTTTTCCTGTGGTGTGTGTATGAGGACTCGTTCATGGCTTATTAAAAGCTTTTTTTTTCATTTGTTGAAATCGTTTTTCGGGTGGTTGGAGATGACGGACTTTTACTAAATAAAATCAGAAGAGTTCCTCGTGATTGTTTCATCGTTGAATGTGCACAAAATCCATGCGAATGCGTCTTTTCTATTAATTTGCAGGACGAAACTCGAATAATACCGAATATTCCGCATTTTGCGGGATAATGTTCTATAATGTAAATCCTGAATCGTGGTCAGATGAAAAATGTTTTTTATAGTCTTAATGGCAATATTCATTTCAGTGTTACTAAATTGAATCATTTAAAGCTTTAAAAAAACGTTGCCTACCAATAGAAAGATCTTCGAAAATCAGAAAAGCCTTGCTTCAAATACTTCAGCAACAAATTCGGTTCCGGTGTAGGAGTCGGGAGCGTCCGGGTAGGCAGGAGCGTCCGGCCGGACACTCTCACCTAGTTGGGAGCGTCCGACCCCCAGTCCGGAGTGTCCGGGCCCCAGGCGGGAGCGTCCTGCCGCCAGTCGGGAGCGTCCGGGATTGAAAACCCAATAATATGAAGGTTTTACGAATGAAATAGTACATAACTACATAGGCAGTGGTTGAGAGCATGTTAAATGATGAAATTTATTGAAAATCTTGAAGGTTTTACCTGCAAGAAATTTTTAATAAAAACTTTTAATCAAATTTTTCATTCAAAATTCTTCAGTAATAATCTTCCTACCAATAATAACTTTTAAATCAACTTAATCATTATAAATGGCTGCAAAACAATATGAAGAAATGTGTAAGAAGATCATTGTCTATTTGGAAGAAGGAAGGTATGATGAGGAAGTGCAGAGCAATAATGAGAAGAGGGTGCTCCAATGTACAGCAGCTTCCTATGTGATGCTGAACAACCAGTTGAATTTCAAGTAATAATTTTTTTATTTTTCAAATATCATTAGAATAGTAATTCCATTAAATGAAGCCAAAAAGTGTACTTTCATGCACAAAGAACATGATAAAATTTGTTCATAAAATTCCCTCCAATGGCTTTATTGTAAGAATGGTAAGGCACAGTTTTGGATTATTTCTTAGAAACTTTTGGAAAAAAATATCTTATTTTGTGAGATGTGCTTTTAGCTAACAAACATAATTTGTTGTGATGTTCATTAGCTGGAATGCTTACATAATCTTGAGTGATTTTAATTTAGAACCATGCCAACTTATTATTTAAAAAACTGTCAAGGTTTTTTTTCAAAAACATTTGCAAGCTGGATCCCAGTTTATAAGCCAATACTTTTTATTATTTAGATACGCTGAAGTGAAAAAAGGTCAAAGAACCCACATATTTAAGGGTTATTTTCAAAAAAGAAGACCAACAGCGTTATTTGAAGGCAGCACATGAGGGAGCTGGTAATTCCCTAATTCTCTAAACTAGTTCCTACTGACAGTGGTTTTACTGGCATTATTATGGTATGTGATTGCTTCAGTGAATGGATTTAAGCAAAGTCTTTCACCAGACCAAATTCAGAAGAAGTTGCACAGCGATTTTTTTTTACACCCAGACATCCCTGACTGGGGACCGGACGCTCCTGACTGGGGCCCGGACAGTCCTGACGGTGGCAGGAATGTCCGACCGGACGGTCCTGACTAGGCGGGACTGTCCGGCCGGACAGTCCGGACGGCGGACGCTCCTGACTGCCACACCGGTCCCCCACAGGCATCGAACAAACGGATCACACAGCTCAAGTTCATCTCGAGTTGTGACGGAACGCACCTTGGACAAGTCAGTTCCGGCTGACTTGGGCTTGTGTTCCCTGGTCTCCGTCATCGCGAGGTCGTCGCAATCAACCTTTTCCGCCGCCAGAAACTTCACAGTAGGTACGGCAATGGTAGACGAGGGCTTGATCGCACCAGTACCGGCTAAAACTTCAGCATCCAGATTGAAAGATTCCCCTAGCTGGGAAAGAATCTGGGTTCCTTCAGTGACGTGCGTGTTTTGAGGCAGTTCCGGAGGCTCAGTCCAGTACTTGATCTTTCCGGAGTTCCAGTTGTTGATGAGCATCCTCGCGGCCTGGTCAGTGTCGACAATGCCCCCGCGTTTCAGTTGCCCGAAACGTTTCGCCAGCAACACCAGAAGTTCATCCGTGGTTTCGAACTTCGGAATCTTGTAGTGGGTCATCAACTGAAAATTCAAACGCATGTTACGTTTTCAAAGTTGGAACAATTTAGGCTTCATGAACCATTTCCTCGGACAAGCAAGCTTTCATGATTCCATTACGAAGCTTGAAGCAGAAGAACCAAAGAATGTCAACCTACCTTCTCAACCCATTAAATGCCAAATTTTCCGCACACTCATTTTTCTTGATTTCAATCCATTCATACCTTGATAGGTTAGGAACATTTTAAAGGCTAAATTTCGTAAAGTATTTTAAAATTTCAACTTGATCTACAAACGGGGCAAAGTATTTGCAACTGCTGTGATCAACCAAATGAAAAAAAGTCAATATTTTATAAGTTAACCAAGCTTCAAGAAAACAGAGTTTAGAATTTAGCTGCAGTATTGAAGGTTCTTTTCTTGCAGTCCAGAAAGACTGTTTAAATTTTTCAACACCATCTTTGTTTTGGAATTAGAAAACATGTTCCAAAAAATATTGAGGTGCCTTCTTGCACGAAACTTCTTTGCAGAGCAAACGCATTTTTCAAACCGATTTTTTTGTTTAGTTCGTATTTTGGTTGGGAGGCAAAAAAAAACCAGACTATCAACTTGGGCCCATGGCAGGGAGTGGGTTACATACTGGGAGGAATATTCGTTACCGTCACCAGATGTAATTCAGAACACCATAGGAGTTTAAAGATAAAACCCTCACCAAAACAACTTTTGTCAGATCAGAGAGGGACAGTTTACAATCATGCTCATCCATGAAGATTCCTAACTCTCCTCAGGCATGCTTTACCAAACTCAATGCTAAGCTTTGAAACTACATTGGGTCCGATAACAAAACTAATCCATCCTGGAAGCTTTTTGTTAGGTGGAATTTTTATAATGTTCAATAAGATTTCCCTTGATAATACATAACAATGATCTCAATTAGTTCAGAAGATCAGATGTGTTGGTGAGAAGATCGTTCTTCATAGTGAATACGTAAACAAAGGTACATCTACAGTTTTACACGCCTTATTCTTTGCTATCCTAAGAAGAGTTGTCTAATTTACACTGTTTCTTCCATTTTTGTGAGAATCAGGCCTAGAGTGGATCTTCACATGCACAGTGAACAGATGTCACTCAAACAAAACCTTTTCTACTGTTTCATTTAATTTTGTGATCATCTCACGATTGACAACGAAAAATCGGAATGTTGAAAAGTAGTTAGGAAAACACAAATAAAAACAGATTAAGGCTTTAAGAAAACCTAAATTTATATTTTGAAGTGACCTACTTTGCAGATACACTGTATTATTTCGTAATGCGGGACATTTCTGTTATGCGAGTGATTATTTCCCTGAAAAAAAGTGAGACCCAGAAAAGCCGTGACCACAATCAACGTATGATTTGAGACAGCAAAATAGGACTTGATCTTCACCTTCATTCTCTTACCCTTCTTCCTCAAAACCTTTACAACTCAACTTTTCACATAAGTGGTAAAATTGTTCAAAATGGACCACGTGAAGAACAAAAGCAAGGAAAAGTTGGTTTGTTGAAAAACCCCAAAAGGAACAATCGTTATTCTCATGGGAAGTTCATTCACGTAGCAGTGTATAACTAAAAAATAAGATTATTGGAAGAAGTTCCTTTGCTCACACCTACTGTATTTACCCATGTTACCCGAATTACTTCATGGTAATCCAAATGTCTCTTTTTTGAACTGCCAACTCATCGGATATCTGATTAGCCTCAAAATGTTTCAGTCTCTAATAGAGTAAAATCTCTTCACACGAAACACCATTACAACACATTTCCAAGTACAGTACTGAATAACCAACTGTTTCTCAAGTCCTAGCAGAAACCCCGTAGAGTACAGTAAATGTGAAAACAATCTTGGTATAACAAACTTTTTCAAATTCAAGTGTAGCACACTTTTTTGAAGAATGTTCAGTAGATTATCAAGCTAGAAATTTCCGTAATAAGACAGGGACAGTCTAAAATTTCTGATCACAAACATGACTGATTGGTTCTCGTGGCACGGATAGAGGCTGTAATCCATGACAAACATTCATCCCAGGGGTTCCACACATAATCATACCAGACTGAAGAAATTTGTGCAATGGATGGAATGCATGATCGAAGCCAATTTTTTCAGGAGATCACTCAGTTATTCAAAGAAGAATACAAATCTGAGAATGTCAGAAAGATCTGACTGATCAGAGCCAGGTCTGATGTGAACCTTTCTCCAGGCTCTAACTTCGAAAATCTCGTGAAAGTAAATTACTCAGTAGAACAAAAGTTTTCCGAAGTCCCTAAATGTGTATTGTAATGAGATTTTACTCTAGTCCCCGTTTCAAATTCTCCTAGATCCGATAAAAAACTTCATTCAAGCAAATTGAGAAATAATGTAGATATATCCGCATTTCCCCCAAGAAAGCCTCTTCATTATGCAGAGACGACCAACTTCCAATTGTCGCTTGACACTGGGAAAGGACGACATACACACCTGTTCTGCCCCAAGCCGCTTAATGATGGCATCGACCGGCGCAAGAGGATTCTCCAACGTCTCGACACGAACGCAATTCCTCAAGGCCAACAAGGCCTCCACAGACGCATCGTCCTCTGCTCCATCCGTTCCCTTGGCCACGGCACTCGCCAAAACCAAGCCGGGACAATCCAGCAATTTAATGTGCTTGTCGAGTTGAACCGTCTGCACCGACGTCGTCATGCCGGCAACTGCCCCGACCTTGCAGGCGCGTTTCCGCTTCAGGCTGTTGATCACCGAGCTTTTGCCAACGTTCGGGTAGCCGACGACACCAACAAGGATCGAGGTCTTCACATCCCCAGACCGACAGTAGTTGGCCAGCAGGTGCAGCAGGGAATCCGCGCCGAGACACTTGGAAGACTGGAGAAGTCCTGAAGAGGCCTTGTGAATCTGGGCACGACTGCGAAACGTGCGGTTTTGGGAAGTGCTGCTCTTGAAAGCGACTGTGGGGTAGTCTTTGCGAAGGTACCTGAGCCAGGCCGTCAGGTTCTGCTTTGGAACAAGGTCTGCAACATAAGGCGGGAGATAAAGAGATCAACCTCTTCAAGACAAACTTCAAGGGATCATCAAAAATTTGGGTTTGGAAGGTTTCGAATTCGGGAAACCACCATTGAGCTTGGGAGAGATAATCACTTAATATTGAAATTGGTGATATTCTGGGACTTGAACAGCTTGTGAAGTGAGTTGAAGGATGCTGAACTTGGAGGCATGAGTTCATTTGCCCTATTAGATCCTTACTTCCTTCTGGAAGGATATTGAGTTGAAATTTTAATGATTTTTTCAGTTTCGATTCCCCAAAATAATAACCCAAGGCATCCGAAAAATTTGAGTCGAGAGGTTTTTGGGGGAAAGCCTTCGAGTCTGTGAGATACTGTATACAGTATTAGGCATTGTTCCCGAAGGAATTCAGATTGGGTTTGAAATAATCGACATGGCGTGGTTCGAGACAACGAGGTACAAGTGCACATTAGAATGAAGCACACCATTTGTCGATATAATATAACTTCACGTTACACACCACAGGAACTGATGAAGCACCGCGGGTTATACATATACAGTATTTGAACCTCTTCAAGTCGAACTTCAGAGGGCAAGCAAAAAATTCGACTTCGGGTGGTTTTGAGTCAGTGGAACAATCATTTCTGTTGATGGGAAAGAAAAAATAACAGTAAATTGTAATAGTTTATGTTTTAGGAGATCAATTGCTTCTTAAATGAGTGGTCGGGATGCTGAACTTGGAGGCAAGGGTTCATGCGCCCGATTAGTCCTTTACTTCCTTTCCTGAGCCAGTAAAATAGCCAAAAGGCCTCCAGGAAATTCGAGCTATGGTGGTTCGAGCAGGAAAGCCTTCAAGATAGAGCGGTTTTTAATGCGTTCTTTCTACTGGAATTCGGAGAGAAACCAGAAAGAATCTCGACATACGGAGGTATTCGACTTAGGGAGGCTCAACTGTACAGTATAATGTTTTCATCATTTGAAAATTTGAACCAAAATTTATTAATGAGGAAAAAGTGTATGGAGCTTCATTCAAATACCTAACGTTGTAAACCGATGGTAGGAAGAAACCAGAAGAACCCACCAGCTTTGTTGAGCAGCAACACGAGCTTTTTACGAGACCCGGCATTCTTCACAGCGTTTTCGATAAGGTCCGAACGACACCCCAAAGGATCCCTCGCATCCAACACTTCAAGAATCACATCAGCGTCTTGCACAACCTTGTAAAATTCCCTTGAATACGACTTCGGGATGTCCAAGTTGTCTCCATCACGTTCCAAGTTGAACACAGATTGTTGCTCTTTGGGCAATGTGGGATCGTTCACTTCCATATCGATTGGATCTTCATTCGCTGCTTGTTTTGCCTACAGGATAAGAATTAAAATTATGTATAGGAATATGTTCCTTTCAATTCAGACGAACTTAGATTTCCATTCCATGAAATAGGTGTTGCTTGAATCTAGTTTCTGTATGTCATTTCATGTCTAAAACGAGGAAAGCTATTCCGTCAAGTCACATTACGATAGCTTAGTATAACCCGATTTCAGTCAGTCGAAGTGAAGATAATTTTGTTTCCATTACGAGGGGAGTGCCAGTTGGATGCAACCACGGATATTTCAGAGCAGGTGTGATTGCAAAAAAAACAAATCATGACATCACCCAAAAAATTTCAAGGTTCTGGGATTTTTCCGGATTTTCAAAAACGCTTAATTCACTGCACGACAATAAGTGAAAACTTTCCAGCTACAGCAGGAGTTTTCCACACGTGTCACACGGTGCTACGATTTGTCGCGCTAACTAAAAAATTGAATTTTGCTTGGTTTTAACCATTCTCGAAAGTGTAGAGAAGATGACGGTGAAAACAAGAATTCAATTTTCAAGTGGCCTGCCACATTTCAGCACACTTGGACATGGGTGGAGAACTGCAACTGCAATGTTTTCCCCATCATCACGCAGTGAATTCAAAAACTTATCAACAATCCGAAAAAAATTTCCAAAACTAAAAATTATGGTCTAATTCATGTTTTCTTGAATCACTAACAAAACTATACAATTATCAAGTAATCGTGGCAAACTGGAACAACCCTCGTATATTCACGTATCACGCTGACGCGCACGTGCCAGACGAGAACAAACCTCGATTTCCACCCAGCGCTTCTTCGTCTCTTCTTGAACGCGTTCTTTCTGCTCAGTGAGCTCTTGCAAAATTTGCTCTTTGAAAGGACAAGCCCCCGGAATCACGTCCTTCTTTTTCGAAACTGAACCAACAGGTCACAAGAAAAAATTATTAAATACAGTAACATTAAACACGAAATGCAGCTCCGAAATTACCCCACGGCTTGTTCGTGTTTTTCTTGCTCAAGCGCTTGACTTTCCTCTTGTGATCTCGGACTTTCTTCTCTACCTTGCACCTCCGGTTTGTCGGAACCCGTTTAGTTTTCTGCCCTGCAATAGTCAAAATCAGGAGGTTGATTCCCAGGAGATAAGAGAAAATAATGCACAATTATCACGCCCAATTTGAAATGTTTCCGTACAGAAAAGCGGGTGTCGCGGAAAAGAAAATTATGGGGCTCTAAAATTCCACCGGTACGAAAATTCCGCTGGGTACAGAAAAATACAACATGATGAAAAGGGTAATTCAGACAGAGTGCTTGAAAGTCCTCCACTTATGAACAACAAATAAAGGAGAATCAAATGCCAAGAAGACGGAACTCATTTTTCAGGTACTTCATCTAGCAAAGTGATGCAATTGACTCTGCACCGTACAATAATCCAACTGTAAGCATGGAATGAAAAAATAATTTCACGTTCTGTATGGAACATTGGCATCCTTCCAAATTTAGCTCAAGACATGGTCTAACTTAGCTCTTTGAGGAAGGTAACCGAATAGGCGAAGTAACCCTCGAAGACTCGAACATTTTCGGGAGATATTACCCATTACATCAATCTGATCATGATTATATTGTATTCTATATAGTCCACGAGGGAAAAATAACTTTCAAATATGTAAGCATCACAGATCTTTCAGAAATCCTTGCTTTCGACAGCTCAACATTTTCCCAGCGGGATTTCCAAGCCTCGATAATTCCACACGAGAACATTTTCCGAGTTTCCAAATCACATGCCACCCTAAGGACCCTTCCTTGAAAACCCCACAAATGAAAGCTTATGTTTCTGAAGAATGAGATGCTTCAATTCATGTGAAGTACGTCCAGAAGAGGAAAATGGACATTTTATAGAGACAACGGATCACACCAAGGCAAGATTGATCCTCAGAGGGGTGAAGAATGAACGAGTTTCGCCTGAAAACGTAAGAAAGTGAATCGGGCTAATTTTTCTTCCTTAGTACTTACGAAAAACTTTCTTCATTGCAAACCGAAAAAGTTCACGACGAACAAAATTTTTCCTGAAAAAAACAAAAATCTGTGGGTTAGAATTCAAAAAAGAAACATAAGTGTTCAAATAGAACGGTCGAGTACTTCCATAAAACTACGTCCATTGGCAACGAAGAGACGTTATCGTTGATTGAAACAAAATTGTACTATTTTCACAAAAAGGTATCCCCAGAAGTGGAGGTCCTTCACGGTTTTCATTGGAACGGATTCGAAATGCGATTTTAGAATACCGTACTTAATCGTAAAATTTTCTCGATTACAGAATCGTTAAAAAAATCAAAAAGGCAGGAACTTCAACTCGGGTTATGAAAGCGGATGTGCAGGGTATGAAAATCAAGTTTTACGTTTTTTTCTCAAAAATATATCTTCTTCATAAAATTCGCTCACAACAAAATCAGTAAAATTCATGGAAGGTCCCACAGTGGGCCGCAGAAATCAAGATTTTCATTCAGCACTTGACAGACTGAGTTGTTCAGTTGTACATTAATGGGGGACATACAAATGCACGATTTTAGGCTTAAATCCAGCTTTCGTAGTACAGCAGATTTGTTTTACAATCAAACCTTTATTCCTCACATTATCACATGGAGACCATAAAAATGAATATGGGACCATCACTGAGAGGAAAACCTTCGTTGATAACGCCTCACTTGGGACAAGACTCGTAGTGTCGATGAACACGCAAAAATAATTTTTTATTCGGAATCACAAGCCTTTTTGAGCTCAAAAATTTAAGTTTGGAACTTTCCCAGGACGTAGTTCTACGTTCGACAAATCAGCAGTATCCAATACAACCCCGTCACTTGTTTTATGTGAAACCGAAGCACGAAATAAATAAAATACTCTGGAATAACAAATGAATTGATCACAATGTGCTCTGCCAGCACGCAGGCAGACAAAAAAATTCAGATCCTTCAAAAACACTATGAGCATTCTCTGACAACGATATCAACAGCGGGCACGTGTTCCCAAACCGGAACAGAAATTTTTCCAAAAACTTCTTCCCTCGCCCGGCACTTGACAGCAATTTTGTATACTCCAGGGGTGCAGAAAATGATACCACAACGATGATGGAAATGGGAACCAACAGGCACGTGTGGCACGGCGACGGTGTCCGCACCCACGACGGTGACGGTGTTGGCGACGGCCGGGGACACTGGCTCGAAGGCTAAAGCACTGCTCGGGCTGTGAGATGGGATGAATGGACGGATTTCCAGAACAAGGTTCACCAGTGAACGTCCGAGCATGGAGTTGCCGAGTTCGACGGATACCTCGACCAATGCTCCCAGCACCACGTGAACTTCTTCCAATCTTCCTGCTCCCGCTTGAACACCATTCACTCCGACCCCTTTTGAAAGCATCACGGATTAACTCCGGATTCACAAGTCGCGCTGTGTTTACACAACTATACGGGTTGGGTCACAAAAATTCTGAACTATCATCACAACACGTCCAAAGTGGATATAATTTAAATATAGAATTTCTGTAGTCAATCTTCCACCGACTTCAGTTCGCATTACTATTCATTCACGTTAAAATAGAAAGGCGATAGCGGGTAAAAAGTGCACCGAATGTCCGTATCGAACCAATCAGGGGTCCGAAGTGTTTCCACATGGAGTCCCCGCGGGCAGGGGTCGAATTGCGAGTCGACCTCCCCGTAAATTTGACCGCCGAATTGCGGCGTGATCGAATTGCGAGGTACGATCCGTATAGTACGTATAGACTTCAAGGGACCAGTAGGCTATTCGGGTAAGGGAGGTTTTGAGTTGGGGAAAAAAGTATTTTTGTTACGCTGGTGGATCAGGTAATTCGATCACAAGCTATTTTCTATTATGTGGAAATAATTCTTGAATTGAATCGGCGAAACCTTCGATTTCATCATTCTACGGAATGCCTGAGAAGCTTCAAAATCGTGATACCGCCAGCGTTCCAGCACGATCGAAAAAGCGTTCCTTCAAAATGAGTTCCTACGACCGTCGTTGACATGAAGGACAGACTTTCAGCCATGTGACTCACAGACGGGCATCACATCCCCAGATAATTCTGGTGATGCAATGCAGAGCTTCAAGGAAAACACCTCCTTTAAAGGCCAGGACGAAAAAATGCGAGTTTTCGAAAGAAAAGAAAAAAAAAACTCACGCCATGTCACCGGAGGCATTTGGACCAAGGAAATCATCGATGGAGTGAGCGTGATTCCCCTCAAGTTCCCCTGTCCACGAATGTCGGAATAAGGAAGCACCCAAGACAGCTCCACGGTAGAAGTCAAGTGATCTCCGATCAGCTTCGCCACAGCAGCTTCTTCTTCCTCAGGACTCTGCCGCAACACTTGACACGTTCACCACATCAGAACTGATGAAAATCGCTAGACTAACCTTCAGCTCTTTGGAGCCAGTCTTGTTAAGAGCGCATCGACTGACTGGAATTGGAAACCGGCAAGAATCCAAAGGCTCAATAGCGATCTTTTTCTCATTCGGAGCCTTGTAGGTTAGCTCCATCTCCTGATTTGTCGCGTTTTGCACATCAAGCACCAGATAACAGCTCTCAGACCTTCGAATTCCATGAAAATACAGCTGGTGTGATACCACCAAAAACCAAAAGTTCCTTGGCCAATGATCTTCATCCACTTAACAACAGCATGAGGGGTCAAACACAAGTTTTTCAAATACAAATTGAACCCACACAGGATTAGACTGAAAAACAATTGTTGTCAAGAAAAAACATTCTTCGGCACAAGGAATGACAATGCACCTCTATTTGGCATATTTCGAAGACATTTTTTGCAAGAGTCACACAAGCAGTTTTTGGCTCTCTACTCAAAAGATGAGGCTCCCATCTCACAGATATTTTGGTGTGGCCCAACTTCTCCAAGAGAATTCCTGAAATCGACATCACGTTAATTCCAAGGGTTGCCTCCAGGTCGTCCTAAGCAATTTGCACCGTTGATAGCCACCACATTCTCATCCCAAATGTGACCGTGATGGCGGCTGTAAATTTACATGGCGGAATTGATGAGTCGATGAGGGCGGAAGCCCTTGGAATCAAAGCCATGTCGGATTCATGAATTCTGAAGGAAAAGCTGTGGCACACCAAAAAATCTGCGAAATGGGCGCCTCATTTTGTGAGGAAAGAGCAGGAAGCTGCCGGGGTGACTTCGACAAACATTTTCAGAAAGATACATCAAACAGGGCTACATTTTTTCTTAAACCAAAGAATGATTTCTTAAAACAATAATTGTTTTCTAGCTCAATCGTAAGTCGTTTCAATTTCTATCCTGAGAACATTTCTTAGACCTCTCGTATATCTGAGATCAACATTATTCAGTGACCACCGGTGGACGAATCAAGAAAATTTCTGCTCATCCTAGAAAAATTGTATATCCACAGCTTACTTTTAGACATTATATTCGTGAAAAAGCAGAGAAAGTAAGAAGATTCATCGACACATTAGTAAAATTGGAGAGTAACACTTACGTTCCTCCGGGAAGAATGTCCCACGCAGTAACACAGACTGAGGGCAAGATGTGTAGAGAAACAGCCATGGACCATTTCCGGCAGTAACCTTCAGTGAAACCTCTCCCACCGGAGTAATCCATTTGCAAAACGACGGAGATCACCTGCAACATCACCATACACAATTACCACATCGAACTACAGTATTGTATACCCGGAAATGAATTCGAACCTCGAGAAGACGCCACCATCCGTCAAGGAGGTTTTCCGCGGATAAACGAGGCTGGCGGTTTATTGAAAATGTCTTTGAATTTTTATGCATATAAATGCTATTTACAGGAACAAGCAATCTACTTAACTTTCACATAACAGTGTAATTTTTGATTTAGTGAGTATGTTTTCAACAGAGGAACGAACATACAGTATAATGATATAAATGCTTTTAAAATCACTTAATTTTCTGCATATCAGTCTAAAATGTTCGAAGCAAATCGACACAAATGATATTATCTTCAGTTTCCATCTTGCTAAAAATGATTCAATTAATAACGACATGTATAAAAATAGAGCAAAAAGGAACCTTCAATATACGAGAAGATTTTGGAATCTATGGCTGAATAAAATGTAGAAACTCCGGTGAAGTTTTTTTTATCTAGTTCAACTGTCCGTGGTGAAATTTCTCCCTCAGTGACTTTATCACTCTTCCCTATGTTTCAGAGCCAGTCCTCCTTGTGTTCTATTTTGGGGAAGGGTGGCTCTGGGTTTCTCCCCGACTTGAGGGGAATGTATTACTGATGTATTTTACTGACCTGTATGAAATTTTGACCATGTATTTGTCATTTGTACATATATATATATAGACTAACCAGTTGCACATGCACTAGAGCATTTTAAAAGCTCTAAAGCACATTTTCCATGGGAAATCTTAATTTTGCCACTTTGGTGTGAATAAACTTGTTAGATAAACAGATGCCTGTCAAGTTTTTTCCATCTGCACTTCTCAGGTCCTTCAGAAAGTGAGCAGCAACTTGTGTGGGTGTTGCCCACACCACCTAACTGATGTCTCTGGTCTCAACTCAACCTGTGAACCTGACCACTTTCAACATACATCTTGCTAAAGTGCCTCCTCCGTGACCTAGCTGAGGGCACCCAACACAGTTTGGGTGTACAAGACCATAATAACAATTGTTGTAGCCAGTCTTGGCACATGTACTGTGCATGCATTATCTACTGTTCCCAAATTTTTTTTCTTCCAATTGCAGACCATGTCTGATGGGGACATTTGCAACGTTTTCAACATTCTGATTTCGCAGGGGTATCAGGAACAAGCCTAACGCCGAAGAGCATTTTTCTAGACCAAAAATGTTGGTCCCATGTTTTCAACATCAGGAAGATTTGTTCATCAACAAATTTCAGCAGTTTCCAAGGGAGGAGGCTTACTGGGGTTCAGGGTTTCAATGCAGAAGAATGGACAAACCTTTGATCTGCCTTGAAGATGAGAACATTCCTCTGACTTCAGTGATGAAGTCGACTTGTACCTCTGAGATACCAGGGATCTATTGCCTGGATTTAACAGTGGATCACTGAAAGTGCCGCCATCGAGATTTCTTGGCTTCGGAAAGTTCATCAGCCAACTTGGAATAGCCAGGCTACTTGGTGCACTTCCGGGTTCACTTGTCAACGAAATGGAGCTCATGGTGTCCCCAACTACAATCAAAAGAAAATAAGAGATACGTACAGTTTGAGACAGACAATTCGAGACAAGGAAAATTTGAGACGGGGACAATCTGAGACAGCAAAAATAAGACTTGAGCTTCATACAAATCTTTTCATCTTCTGAACCTTCGTTTCAAAACCTGTAAAACTTATAATTTATTTCATATTCTTCATCACATGCGGAATAAAAATTTTCAAAATGGACCAATAGAGGAATGCAAACAAGGAGAGGTTGTTTTTATTTTTTCAAACCTCACAAATAATTCTTGTGGTGCTCATGGAATATTGCATCATCGCATCTTACCCCACAGCTCTAACAATAAATACGATCATAAATGTGAACAGCATGAAAAATGATACAGAACTGATGTAATTGTTCTTGATTCGAAAATGAGATAAAACTTTCATCAGCCAACAAACCCAAACAAAGGGTAGCAGACAAACTTTCAATGCCGTTTTCCAAAAAAAAAAAAAAAAAAAAAAAATGTTGACGAACAACTCCACCATTCCACTAAAAGCGAAGTAAAAACTTTCTGAAAATTCCAACTCACGGATCGGAGGACCTATGAAGTTGAATGCATTGCTATCAAGGGACAAAACCACTTCGAGGCATCCATCCGGGTCTATCGGTAAACGCTGTTCCAACACTTTCTCTTCGTCCCACGATATGAACTTCTTGTGCGACGCAGCATTTGCTGGATTTCCAACAGTCTCCAAAGCAGAGTTCACGGCCTCGACCGGAATCTTCGATACATTCCGCAACTTAAGCTTCACTTCTTGTCTGAAAAAGAGAACGCTCAACCTCCAACAACAACAAACCACAATTGTTGAGAATATTACTTCTCTCCAGCAAACATATTGATCTTAAGCGACCTGGCCAGCGGGGAATGGGATTCGAGCGACTCGGGATAACAGCTGATGTCGTCGCCCTGATGAGTTCCCTGGAACGCGGTCACTTCGAGCATTGGCAATTCTGGAACGATATCCACCTCCAAAAATGGTCGTTCAACTCCTCCAATATTCGCCATATTCCGCAACTTGCAATTCGAAGTTACTCCAAGCGTTGTGAGAGTGTAACCTGAAACAATACATCGAGAAATGCGGGTTTGGATTCAATAACATACTGGATTTCGAATTCCTTCCGGCTCAAGCTCACTAACCAAGTATTCTCAGTTTTCCAGCACACCGCGGAACTCCTCTTAAACAAAGTGAGACATCAGACAAAGGCGACATCACTAAATCAACAGTTTCTGCCTCAAACTGCACTCCTTCCGTCAGCAAACCCTGCAGAAACACACCATGAAAAGCTTACACAAAGTCCGGAGTCGAGCCAAACATGAGTCCCACCAGTTTATGAACATGCAGATCCATGGGAAGAGGATTCTCAAAGTCCATGGTCACACAGCAGATCTCGTCGACAACCCAAAAGAACTCTGAAAACGGAATCAGTTTTTCGATGAACCGATGAATGAAGCATAAAAAATAGGCAGAAATATACCTGTCTCAGATGCCTCTCTGTTCCTCTTCTTCTGTGCTGAGCCCACCATCCGCAAATTGGAAACGATGAAAGGACTCGCACTAAATTCGTCCTCATCGCTTCCAATATATTTCCCGAGCTGCTTCGCCTTTTTCCGCATTTTACTCGACTTCTCAACCAATGCTGTCGCCGTCGGCGGCGTCATATCAAACATCCGTACGAATGGCAAGTTAGTCAAGTGAACCGGAGGAATAATAACCCCAGAATCTAAAGCCAATGGAACAGGAAGGATCCCCGAAAGTTCTCCGGCATCGATCCTTGTCAAAGCCGCAAGCTGCATCGCATGGTCTTGGAGCTCTTTTAGGGGTGAATGGCCAACCATCACGTGCAGCAGGAAGATCATATGGCGAATCGCCAACGCGTTGTTCCCCATTCTCCGAGCACTGCCGATGAGCTCCTCAAGAACTTTCGTCTGCAAGTGTGGCCAACCAACACAATTGGGGAAATTCCGCTCAGTCCACACATTCACTGCAAAGAAACATCACAGTGAAGAAAAGGCAAGCTGCACCCAAAGTCGCTTATGATACAGGTGGACTCTCTTTACAACAAAATTAAAAAATTCAAGGGACCAAAAATTCGTAATGGAGAAATTAGTTTTAGAGAACTCTATAACATGGATAGAGAACCCTATGGAACCAAAATCAATTTGTTATACAGAGAAAATCGCTGCAGAGAGAATCGATTTGTATCTTCTTTTACATATCAGGCAGCATTAGTCAATGTCACAGTTTGTTAGTCCCGTTGGACAACGCCTGTCCCCTGTCACAGAAAAAAATTTGGTTACTCGAGAGAAAAACCAATCATTCTTGGTACAGTACAAGTGATCAACAAATATTCCATTATTGAAAGAAAAACCGCTTCAATATCTTTGAAATAATATTCAGTCAATACGGGTGGACTCTCTCTACAACGATTTTCTCTTTATAACCGTTTTTTCGCCCCATAGGGTTCTCTCCCAAGGTTCTCCACAACAAAACCTTCCCAAAAAGTTTTTTTTTTTATCGCCCCTTGAATTTCGTTGTACAGAGATTCTACCTGTTTCAAAAAAATTTGTCTTACTATGACAGAATCGTAATACAATACAGTACAGTAATCTTGCACCACGATATTTCATGCGGTGATCTCCACAGGATAAAGCGGTAGTAAAGAGTTGTTCAACATAGATAAATTCAGAACTAATCAGAAAATAAATCCCAGTGCATTATTCGTCATCTCTACTCCTTACACGATACAGCTTCAATCTCGGAAAAACGTGGTCGAGCATCTTCTACCTCCGTAAGATTAAAAAAAGTCCTGATTTCAAACTCACCATGGGAAGGCGTAATTTGTGGACCCGAACTGGCAGGATCAAGACTGAGCCGGTACCCGTCCAAGCACTGGACCAACAGCTGGTAACAATCATTCCAACTCGGGTTCGTGTTCTGGGGGCTTACGCAGCGCATGGCTGCAACCCGGCGGTAGAAAGACGCTTTCCGGATGAACCCGATTTCCTCATACAGTCCAGCGAGTGTCACGAACCTCTGAACCTGAACAAAAAATTCAAGGCGTGAGCGTGGAACCTGCACCGTCGATTCCATTAGAAACAAAACATGCGCCGTGACAGCTTCACTCCAAGAGTTTTGAAAAGTTGGATGACAGATGAAAGCTGTGAACTTTTGAAGACGAGTTAACAATATAAAAACGAGTAGCCCCGTCCTTCAGCATAGATTCCTCATGAATCGTTGAATCTCTCAAGAAATTGCACTTTCAATCCCTCTTTTCAATGATACTGTACACATGGTTCCTCGTCTTATTCGCACTGGTATGACCAATGAGTAAATTTGACACAAGTTGCCCCAGGATTTCTCACTTCTGTTCTCGATTCTGTCATCCGAATTTCAGATCCTGTCTTGAGCCAAGTTGGGCACGGTTCACAGAATAGTATCAACCTTTCAACAGCTCAAAGCCTGTTCCCTTACAACTCATAACTGCCCGAGACGAGTCGTCTAAAATCTATACAGTATTATCATTTCTTGGGCTACTCATAGAAAAAAAAACTCAATATGCTGTACAGGGAAAATATTTCGAATGCACTTTTCATTCGAACAGGGTCTGAACTGAAATCTGGAAAACTGCCAGGATCAAAGATCATCAGAATTCTAGCTTAATTTCCGTTCCCGTTTTGTTTCAGAAAATGAGGTTGGGAAGCAGCTTTTGGCTGTTCAGCAGAAATCCCTGTCAAGGAATTTCCGAAGAAATGTACTTTTTTTTTTCGTCAGCCCGTAGAAGCATAGAATAGTCTTGATGTGATGATCCAAACAAATCTATCACTTGACAGACACCCCAGAGCAACAAACCTTTTCTTCTTCGGGCAACTGGAGGTTGATGAAGACAACGTTCTGGAGGAACTCAGCAGCGATGATCGGCTTGTCTTGCAGCACCAAGATCTGCACGGCTTTCAGACTAGCTTCAGTTTCAATGATCCCCGCATGGCGATACTATAAACACACACGAACATCATAATCATCACTTGAACGTTATTCGCTGAGACAAACCTTCCCATACTGGGTGATCGCTTCACGATATAGCTCAATGATTTCGCTGGGCGTTGGAACATTCCCTGACAGTTGCGTTGACACAGGATCCCTGGTTTGGGAGATTATCAGAGGTTTTGGCACGCCTTGGTCACCAATGCTGAACGATGAATTTCTGTGAAGTCCGGGGCTCGGAAACCTGCCCAAACTCGGATAGTGCAGCATCCCTGCTGCTGCACCCATGCCTTCCAATGCACCTTCGAGGTCATGACACGAACGTTAATCCCACATTGTAAATTTTCAGAAACTATCGTGTTTCGCTGATGGGGACAATAGTCTCAAAAACACGAAGGTTTCAAGGAAATGCTGTGGATTGAAAAAGATTCAAGAAACCAAGATAAACGAAAATCAACGATCAGCCTGGGACAAGGCCTGGAATTCTCGTCAAATTTGAATTCAGAAGCTGAAGCTTAATCGGGAAATGGTCCCGAAGAATTTTATCAACACACAAATTGAGACAAAGAAAAACCTTTCAGCAAGCTCTCTCCTGTGAACCAATTTAACTGATCTACACAAAGATTTGTGGTCAGACTGAAGGCTGCAGTAAAAGAAAAAAACCTTCGTTAATTTACTGAAGGCCTTGGATAGGCCCATAAAATCAAAATTCAAGACATTGCGAAACCAGTGAAAGCTTACAAATAAGGGGAATGGAAACTTATCATTTTCCCCGGTTTTCCATCTTTTTCTATTTCATTTATTTCTGCCTCGGGTTCATTACAAGATTATTTGATCCCTTCTACTTCAATTCAACCGGAATCTGTGCGTAAAACGAAAAAGAACCGCCGCGATTACGCTCTTCCACCATAGCTCCAGGGGACTCATAGAAATCAACGTAGGATCACTCTAGTGACTACACTATTTCATTTTCCCCTCTTCCATCATATAATAGCATTTTTTGCATACAAATGAGCCTCGATTATTCGAAACTCTCCAAGTCAAATACCTCCCTACATCAAATTTTCTTGAAGTTCCTGTCCGAGTCTCTCAGAAACAAAGCATTAAGAAGCTCCCCAACTTGAAGGCCTCCCCCTGGAACCACCGTACCTCGAATTTTCTGGAGGCCTTTTGGCTATGATTCTATTGATTCAGAAAATAGAAAAGCAATAAATATTTAACATGCATTTTGAAAAGAAGTGAGAGACTATTTGGGTAAATGAACTCTTGCCTTCAAATACGCGATCCCGTCAACTCATCTAAGAAGCAATTTGAAGCCCAGATTATCAATAATTATTATTTCCTGGGATTTTACTTTCTCTCCTCCAACAAAAATGCTTGTTCGTTCCCCCAACTCGAATTTTTGGCTGGCAAATTGACTTTCGACTTGGAGAGGCTTGACTTAAATATAATTCCCAAGCTTATTGATTTTACAGCAAACGCCGTCACGGGAGGAATATGCAGAACAGTTTCAGTCGAACAACGAGAACGGCCGTTCTGCGAAATGACCATAACGTGGGGTTCCTAAAAAACTACCGGAAAAATAATTAAGCTTATACCTGGTGACAACGGACTGACCTCCAAGCCAGAGCCAGTCATTGGCTCCTCTTAAAAGCTCCGCAGCGGCATTGTATTGGACCATGGCATCAAATGGAAGCCCAGCTTGAAGACACAAATCCGCCTGCTGCTTCTTGGCTCGACCCAAGCACCGTTTCTTGTTCGATCTCGACTCGATATCGATCCCAGCAAAGTCCTTCCTCTCAAACGGTGCACAAATCAGCTGCGACGAGTTGACCGGGTTGGAACCCGATGCCAACGCCGCAAGTTTCTCAGACGCCGCAACTTTTTCATGGCCCTGGGAACTGACTCGTTTCGACTCAAGGACCCAGAAGAGGGACGACAGAAACTCGGTTACGTCAGCCAAGAGTGAATCGCAGCAATCCACTGAAGGATAATTGATTTTTGCGCTTTTGAACTCGGATTCCGCCTCTTCACCATTGCGGATTAATCCGGTCCCATCTCCAAACATAACACATCTCGAATCGTACAAGGAAGAAGCGTAACGGAGCTTTATTGCCTCATGTTGCTGGAGCAGCTCACGGAGCTCCTCCTTGCTCGTGAATTTCCCTACAACAGTAAAAAAAAAGATAACATTAAAGGTCTTCGAAGCTGTTCTTCTTGTACTTTTTGGATTCTCGAGAAACGATGAACTACAGTAATGTGTAGTTTCGGGAAAACTATTGCAGAAAAAATAATAATGGTTTTGCATTGCTGTTCGAAACTTTTCTGACAGGCTTATCAGCGCAAGACGGGGAATAAACATTTTCCGAATGTCTATTCGCTGAAGAAGCGTTTTATGACTAGTTCGTGGCGAACGGTGATGATTTGCCATCTCCCAGTTCGCAATAATTACGAAAGTTTCGCTCTCCAAGAAGCTCTCGAATTCTAGTAAAATACCAGGAGAAAAGCCTGCATCACGAGTCAATGTAGTACGCAGTGGGGCCCCACTTTATGCCCCACGCTTGAAAAACATAACGCATTTAACAGCATCTTTTTGAATCTATTTTGAACCGCAGGAAATTAAGAAAATTGCAATTCAAGAAATTAACGAACATTTTAGCAATGGTATGGTACAAAGTCAGTGCCAGTCTAGTGCGTCATCTAATCCGCTCATTACATCAACAAAACTTATTTTTCAAATGAAGCATGCACCTTGATTAATTCGCGATAAGAGCTACGTTTCAATCCCACGGATTTCAGCTCTCACCTAAGGACAGTAGCCCAAGGACCCGTCGATGGGTTTGAAAATCTCCCCATTCATTGTTCTCGACAGGATATGAGCGTTTGTACCGAAAATGAAGTATTCGAAGATTTCCCTGGTGATCGGTGACTTTAATCTCACGTATTCGCTGGATAGTTTCGAAAAAGCGGTTGAAGGTTTTTTGCTTGAGTTGTTGTCCTGGGGGAAAAATACCCGAACTTCAGCGAAGAAAGCAATGGAATTTTAGGAGAAAAACTCACCGACTTGTCGGACAAGGATAAGAAGAGTTGCGTGATCGGCAGCAGTCTGAAGGTAGTCCGGAAAACTCATCGTGTTATCCGGAGGCGCCGATGACAAGATGACGGAAACAGAAGATCGCATGGCCTACAAGTACACTATGGCAAGCTTCACAACTGAAGGCATTAACCTGGTGTAATATATCCACACTGGGACATCTTTGCCTGTGTTTTACGAAGAATATACCATAAATTTTCTGAAAAAGAGCATGCTACTTGCACGATTTTTGATAAACCCATGCGAACACACGAAGTTACGTCCAAATTGCGCCAGGTTTCAGTGCAACACTGAAATTCCCAATAACAACGCTTTCCAACGTCCCGCGAAGAGCTATTTCTTCAGACACAGAACCTCACGGTGATCAACGTCACGCATTCAAGAACGATTCGGATATCTTCACGCGCACTCGATTCCGAATACTTGATTGCACGATGATGAAGAACGCGGACTTCACGCAAATTTCTCGTGAACTTGAACAAATACTTGATACCACTCCCTTCCTCGGATGACTTCAACAACGATATGAAGTCCCAAGAATTGATATGTGCTGGTCAACAGAATAAGGGTGAATACAAGATGGACTTCTTCTCCACGAACACGAGTTATATTTCTTGTCACAGATTGAAGACTTGGGTTAAATAACAGAGGGATATCACTCAGTTCAAGCATCAGAAGGTAATGTCAGGACGACAGCTCAAAACAAAGTGATCAGTTTCTCCTCCTCGGCTGACGCCTCTGCCAGCGGTCCTCCAGATGGGGTGATAAGAGAATCAGATTGGGGTGTGATGGTTGGACGTTTGGCCTTACGTCAGAAGGGTCGCCTAGATGACGCTCGTTTAGGTAAGGGTGCACCCTTACTCTCCCCCCCCCCCACTGACCATCACTCGCAAAACGGACACGCGTAAACATGTTCTTGCGTAGAATCAATGATGTTGTTTTGTCCAGTTTGCAGTTGGATGAGCCCCAGTTGTTTTTCCAATCCAGGTATGGGTGCTTGGGGAAGTCCGCGGAACAGTACCATTTCCCAGGCATTCCCAGCAAATAATCAGCCGTTTTCCAGCCAGGCATACCCAGTGGATAATTTGGGCGTCGGATTTTTTGAAATGCATGTAATGCATCAGGTGATGCTCCATAT